TGACCGTTGAACATCACGCGTCTCACCACTGCCCCCAGAGCGAGTGTTGAACGCCTGCTTGTAACTGTTGTTTATGGAGTATGCCTTGATATTTCACCGGTAGCAATAAGCCGCTAGGATAGATTGTCAGTTGTAATCACGTGGCTTTCCTACTCCAGACAGAGGGCATATGAAAAAATCTTGAGAGCTGAGTCACACAAAGAGCTTGCATACTTTCGTTGCCGATATCATTCATGCATGCCTCTGGGGGTTAAACTAAGCTAGATGTCTTGGATATGAAAATCCTGCTGTGGGCGAAGTAGCTTAATAGACCCACTAGTTTGACTGTGATTCAGTATAATAAACTAGACATAGATGGTGTTTCAGGTAAGCACACCTTTGCTATCAGTAAGCCAGTCACAGTTTGTTTGCCAGTCATATGAGAGTTGCTCACACTCATATGGCTTCATCTAACAATATAGGACAGACAAAATGGCGACGAAAAAGATGCGGTTCACGACACCCACGCAAAATGCGATGTGAGTTATTCAGACGGGCGAGCATTTATGAATAAGCACGGACACCGCAAGATTGCATGGATGATGGTTCAGTGCCCGCATGAAATTTCACTGTTTGCGCTGTGACCACACACGTTCCTGGCATTGCGTTACCACCGCAAACATGACAAATCAATCAGGCAATGCTGGAAAGAAAAAACCCACGTGTGTAAAGCCTGCATAATAGGCTTATCAGAGCTATGGACAACAAGAGCATGGACGAGTTTAGCATTGATAGTGAACTTATATGAATGAGTGCCTATGCTGAACCAGTGGTATGCAATGCACACCAACTACGAACTATAAAATAGCAATGTAGCCCTAGTGTACGCTAGTTCCACCGGAGGGTCTAAAATGTCACGCATCGTAACTTTCTGAAATACTTGTCTGTTAGTCAGGCTGTTCAATGGGACTGGACACTGGCCACTAGAGCAGAAACCAATCTTGTTAAATGAACAAGATGCAGAAAGTTCGAGAAAAAATGACAGCATTAAGACAGTTCCACTCCATTGAAAACTGTGGAAGATCCCCACATATGAGAACATGGAAAAAATCTCAGCTTATCACATGAAGTAGTGCGACAGGTCGACATGATTCGGTTACTAGGGGCTTCCGTTAATTTGCTTTAAAGGGAACCTACTGTTATGACTTACGAGCAACTTTCTCTTTTGTCACTTACGTCCGGTATCTGTCAATAATTAATCGCGCAGTACATACGGAAGTCAAGGTGGATCTGACATTCTCGTCTTGCGGACTTGTGAAGCATTTTGATAATGGGACAGAGGTGGTAAATACAATTCACCCAACCCTGGATTTCATGAAGGCGATCAGGAATACGATGCCTCAAAGGCTTTGGAAGTGTGGGTGAGACGCCTGGACCGCTAAGCGAATAGCGGTGACTGTTTTGTTCCCGTTTTGAGTCGCGGCAAACACAAAACTGTATTCGTTGGCATCCCTTGATATTTAATATCAATTTGACTCAACTACCCTATTTTCTTTGAATTGAATGCATTCAGTGTGGTTCGTGACCTTCAGCAGTTACTCTGCCACAGGAAACTACTTGCTTTGACCAAAAAATCTGATCAACTATAGACAGACCAGTGTGACCACTCATTGATGTTTTGATCTTTAAGGAAAACTTCAGCGACGAACAAATACTGCGACAATTGAATTCATCAAACACGCGAACGTACACATAAAACGTGCATACTAAACGAACCAAGAAACTTGTAACTCTCGACCAACCCATCGCTACGCACCACTACACGCCTTAACAACGGACTAATGATGTCACCTCGGTCTATGAAACGTTTGCACTCTAATTGCCCAGCTCAGGGAACAAACCAACGACCATAATATGTATTTCTTGAAATATCTTTCATCAACTTAACTTCCTGATTCACTTCACCCATAAAAACGACCACGATGAACCCAAAATTTTCGTGTAACTAGACCGACAGAAAGCAATCGATTGGATTTCAGACGCTTCCGTCCAGCAGAAGCTTTCAAAACTTGGTATCGTCAACGCCAACCTCTCATACTTCCATTCGTACACACAGAGCCGTAATCAGGTGCTAAAGTGGAGAATATCGAAGCATCAGTATGAAGACTCAGATTACCAATTGCTGGTATTATTTAAAAAAAACTAATCTTGGCCCAAAGCGATTGTCCAACTATCCACACTAGTACAGCCTATAGGTTAGGGGTGTTGGAAATGTTCATCTTAAATAATAAATAAAAAGATAAGCGTTCAGCTGTAAAACTCGGTGTATAGCTGCCATGTCACGAGGGCTGGGATACTGCCAGGATGCCTAAGCCTAGACAGGGTAAGTCAAGAGGCGGAATTCTGTTCCAAACCACGGACCATTCGGTCAATAAATTGGCGATCTCAACACTGAGCCATCTCGCCCACATGTTTATCTTAACAAACTACATCATACCATACCCACGATTTCCCCAAATTTAAAAGCTCTGGTCATTATCACCATCGACAGCATGACATCAGTGTTCAACGCTGATGCTTCACTGCCGTACGGTTGTACGAGGGTTAGGATACTGCCAGGGCGCCCACACCTAGACAGGAAGACGATTAGGGTCCTCAATCAAAGCTTTTGACTCAACAGCCTAACCGCAAGGCAGCGGTGTTTGGCAAGAAGTGCAGATGCATTACCATTTCTATAAGTCGCCACATGTTCCAACCCCCAACCTGGAGGGCCAGGAGACTGTGTTCGTCAGACCACTAACCATTGATCAACCTGGTATGAGAGACTCTGTCGCGGGGACACTCCCCAGTATAGCTCACTGGATCGCTAAGGTGCGCAAACCGTCACACCACGGTAAGGTCCAGTCCCTTCGTGATGGCCCTGTAATGTCACGTCCTCGTCAAAAAATAGTTCCTTTCTGTGTGCCTTGTTTTCCGTTATTCAATTTCTTATCTTTCTCGTTTGATTTTTGTCATGTTCTGGTTACACTTCCTACAGGTCGATGGTGAATTTTTGCGTCCGAGTCAGTCATCTGCATCAGAGCACAAAAGTCGTAAGTGCTTTCCCACTCAACTAACGGTTTTGTCGCTTAGAAGGAGATCAAAGCATTCTTCCACCCCTTGCATGTGACTGATACTCAGTTCTTCAAGAACGGTAGGTCGTTCTCGATTTCGATGCTCACTCAAGGGTTCACGTAATCCATTGTAAATAGGTAAGGCTTTGGTCTATTTTCGACAAGAGGAAGATTGTGCAAAGGCGCTGAAAAAGCAAGGTTGCATTCATGGCAGAACGATCCTTCTGAGTCCCTGGGAAGCCAAGCCTAACCAACGAGGTGGTAAGAAGAAGGAGAAAGTTGAGTCAGCCCAACCGGCTCCGTGGCCAGTTAAAAGTCGGGAAGAGTTAGAGGCTGCAATCAGAGAAGTAATTCTGCTCCGTTCCAATTAACTTCCGCTTCAAGTCTGGACGCTTGTTTGTGCGGAACCTCTCTTTTCAGTGTACAGAACAGGATCTGGAAAAGCTCTTTTCCAAATACGGTAGGATATCCTCTTGGCTGACCAGTAGCTGCTCGCAGGCTCTTTGAGTGATATTCACTTGTCGTATGATATGAGGCAGCAAGTATCCAGAGGGTTTGCCTTCGTTACTTTTTTGTTTCCAGCCGAAGCTGTCACAGCCTTTCAAAAGTTGGACAAGACCGACTTTATGGTAAGCTTATCGGTTTGTGACATCTCGACTTCCCCTGTCTAGGCTTGAGCAACCTGGCAGTATCCCAGCCCTCGTGCTTCCTTCGGGTTGCATGGCAGCTAGGCGCTGAAAGGGTGTTAGAGCTGAATGATTATCACTTTGTAGAGAGATAACCAACGAAAGGGACACTGTCATTTGAGGTATCTAAGTGGTTAGGGTTTCGTCTGTTGGACAAAAGCACTGTGATTCGAGACTACCGCTGTCGTAGCTGTTCCCGTTTAGTCCTGACAGCACCTCATCCCTCACGCTTCACCCTGTTGTTGTAGAGCTGGAGATGGCTCAGTGGTTAAGGCGTGAACTCACCGACCGGAAGGTTTGTGGTTCAAACCCAGCCGCGGAATTTCGATTGCTCTTGTCTAGGTTTAGGCAACCTGGCAGTATCTCAGTCCTCGTGCTCCCTTCAGACGGAATGGCAACTGGGCACTGAAGGGGTGTTACACCGACCCTCGTGTTGTACTAAAACGACTTTGTCGTGGAAGCACCGGACCGTACGTGGCAGGCCTAGCCACGTTTGCTTTGCTATCTACCTATATAGACAGCTTCTAAAGCCATTGCCGAAATTCCATTTTGCCAACAGTGTTTTCGAGTTTCATTTATGACAGTTTCCCAACCTCACTCAAATATCTGTCCTCTCACAGTTCTATAATCTATACTATGCTACCTACTATCATCGTACTCACGTCTTTTCCCAATCACTTAGATCCAGGATCTGCCAAATTCAAAATTATTTCTCAAGTGGTGTAAAACGCCTGGAATCCGCACATTTTTAGAAAACAGTGCAGTTATGCTACTCACTTGTCTTTAAACCATCCTAAAGTATTTTTTTCCCGTGAGCATTTGCTAGTTCTCATGCCCCATGTCTAGCAGCGTTTTCACCCTTTCCATTTAGGGTAGACTACTTCACATACTTCCTGGTGAAGACCCACCAGAAAAGAAGTCATCCGAGCCGGGACACTCTGAAGGTCGTGACAACAGGCAGAATAAAAACCACTTGTCCGAATTTCAAACGACCCGGTTGCAGGAACTCAAAGCTTCGGCTGGTACAGCTCACAACTGGAATACACTATTTGTACGACCGGACGCTGTCGCCACGTACTTGGCAGCGAAATTTGGTCTGACAAAGGTACAGCTCCATTTTTTCTTAGCCCTGTTTGCTTCCATACTGTGTTTTTTGACTAATTAACCTTGCATTCAGTGTTAATTTTTGCTTTACCCACAAACTGATGGAGTGTCTCATTCATCATTTTTCGTGGCTTGCCTCTTGTAGCCTTTCGCGTTTTTTGACACCGGTCAGGTCGTGGATAGGCATGCTTTAGCCAGATGGCACTGCGAAAGGCCCTGCAACTCTTTGAAGGCCAGTGGCGGGTATGAGAGCGCAGATTGAGCTTTAAAACAATTGTATGATGTTTGCTTTCATTGGTTTTCCACGTTTCTGTACCAATTCGAAGTGAATTTGGACGCTTTACGGGGAAATCCTTCGCATAACACCTCTCCAGTGTCTGGTGGAACCAAGCACTCCTGACTGCGGGGTATTGTTATGGAATGTCAAGTTGACAAGTGACCCAAGCTGTTAGGTTGACCTTGATAGTCGACTTCGTACTAAGGAGGTGGTATGGCTGTTGCATTCTGAACACACCCGCCTATTTTGTTTCACCACCGTCATCTTGAATACACAATTCAGGCGTACCCTTTCCCTTCATCTTATTAAAGGAACAAGTTTTGGAACCATCTGAACGTGGTTCCGTTGCCGTGCGATTAGCCCATGCAGAGGCTCAATTGGTTTCAGAAATGCGAGAGTTCCTTGAAAAGCACGGAGTCAATTTGGATGCCTTTGATGACCCCGAATCGAGCGACAATTCGCGATCTGGTCGTCGTGATCGTCTAGAGGCCAAAGCTGCCGGCACCCTGAGACAACTATCGGGGACTGCTTTCCTAATCAAAAATTTGCCGGCTGGAACAACTGCGTTGGAAGTTCGAGAGCTGCTGAGCCGTTACTCCAAGTCTGCGAGATCGGAGGATTCCCAAACACTCACAACGAGCCGCATTCGGCCAAAGTCAGTTATTGTTCCTCCTCTGGGCATCACAGCAATCGTGGAATTTGCGCTACCCCAACAGGCTCGTCTGATGTACCGTTATCTGGCATACGAACCTGTGAGTAGTAAGCTTACGTTTGTGTATTCTGTGCAACAGCCTTTTGGTTCCAGTATTAGTTGTGGTATACAACGCGTGGCTGTTCTCCCTGGCTTACGTGTGAGCAAGAATAGCAAGAAGGGTTTTCAGCAACCTTATGAGTAGTGTATTACCTCTACGAATATACCCAGTTCTATAGAAGCGGGAAGAAGATGGAACAAACGACAACCAACACTAACAAAAGGAACTGCCTAAACGTATCTCAGGGTCGCTGCGCTCCCTCTTGGAAAAACAACCGACCACTTCTGGCTATTCAGACCCCCGCTCATTCCACCGTTCCTTTGGACCAAGGGATCATTTCCGCGCACAACAGATGCCTTTGTCTTTCGTAGAACTTGACGCACACTTGTCAATATTTCCATTGTGATCTCGTTTACCATCGTTCGACGAATGGAATGTAGCTGACCCTCATATGGTTTCTCTGTTGCGGACTAGTAAGGAACTATGTGTGTTTTTCTATCCAGTATAGGGACAGTATCCTCTACCTCCAGTGGCTACCGGAGGGGGCCTTGAAAGACCGCTCAGACGTGGTTTTGGAACCAGGTGATGAAGAAAAGGAACGATCGGAGAAATCCAAACGAAAGCGGAAGCGAGCACACGAAACAGCCATGGATCCCACTGCAACTGGAAACGAACCAAGGTAGGGTTTTTGTTTCCAAACAAACTTTCCAGAAAGTGTTGCCACTCCGTTGATTCTTCACCTCTTTCGTTTGTTTGGGAGCCCCAAAGCTATTTTCGTGCCTTTTGGTTGAAGACCAATCTTGATAAACGATTTCTTCAGGACTAGAGTTCCTGTTTATTTCGTTCCCTCATCGTTAGTCCACGTGTGTGACATTAGGCTGAGTTGTCCATACATATGGGGCAAGACCAGTTGGCGTTCGTTAATGCCAATCCGTGTACCAAATCTGCAGATTCTGTGGGGCTCTGAACGCTTCCCTACCATTGCACCGATACATACAAATCAACGGGAGTTTTTCGCTGCGAACCTCGGTCTATGCTCATGTGGTTCGCCGAGGTTTTTTGGGCGAGCAAAATGTTTTCAAAAACTGCATCGGATGCCCATTAGACCAACACTACTTGCTGAATGTAGAGTAGTAATGAGACGTTGTCGACCTTTGAAAGTACGGCTAATTGACGATAGGGGTTGTAGCCAGTTTGGTTCTACCGCCGAACGTTGCAGAACTCTATTCTGCACACCATTCTTTGATCATGGCTATCAGTTTTGCTGATATTTTCGTCCACCTGGAGAGGTTCTGTGCTTCAGACCCACCTCCGAGATCTTGGCCGCTCCTGTCTAGACTTAAATAACTTGGCGGTATCTCAGGCGTCGTGCTTTTTTCTTAAGGCATGACGGGTAGGCACCGAACCGCCGGTGCTACAGCTGAACAGTATTTTAGTCAAGCCACAGCGCGGCCTAGAAGTTCTGTCCCGTGTGTCCACTGGAAACAGTATTGAGAGTACATAAGATCATGAAAAAGCCGACTGCGGACCAGTTAGGATTTTGATCACACGCTTCATCAGTGTTCAGCTGTTAACCAGTCCACGACTCTACCACCCTCGTGAAGTCGGAATGAGCAGCCCGATTCGTAGCCAGCTCGTGGTACGTCGGGGCTTCTTAAAGAACAACGTGGTTCGCACGCAGTCAGCTGACTGGCGTTCAGCTGGCTTCGGGAATTGAGGCTTTTTCGGAGATAGCGTGACAACGTTGAATAATTCATGTTCACATGGTGATTCCTCACGTGAGCGTTGGCCACGTTTGGAAGACAAAATTATCTTGAACGCATACAAAAGCGATTTTTCAAACAACCAGGCTCTTCATTAAAGTAGATAAGATAACCAGTCAGCTGTAACACCCTTTCGGTGCCTAGCTGCCATGCCACGCGAAGGAGGCACGAGGGCTGAGAAACTGCCAGGTTGCCCAAGCCTAGACACGGGAAGTCGAGAGGCAGGGGTTGGGCTCGAACCACAGACCTTCCGGTCGGTAAATTCGCGCTCTAACCACTTGAGCGCGTGATGTGAAGTCAAATCTTCTTGAAATAGGCAGTCACCGTTTTAATCGGATGTTGAAATAGACAGTCGCCGTTTTAATCGGACGTGTGGCGAACCCTAATATCCCTTGTTAATATCCGTCCGAACCAGAACGCAGGCAACAGTGTTCTCCTTTTTGAGAAGAGATGGTCATTCAGCTCCTCGGCTGAATGTGTTTAATGCTCACAAATTAGAAAGTTATGCCTCTAAGCATGGTACTCGAAGTTGTGGTACACTATACTTATTCTGGGAGCTGTATCGGCTCGGACGATAGTGTGACGAACGAAGTCAACACACGGATCTCAGACTATATTTACGCTTACCAATTTTCGCCACTTCTGGTATCAAGATTGTCCTAAAGGCCCCACGTGTCAGACTACAATGCAGACTATATTGTTGCGCGTCTGCGATACTTTGGAAGTGCAGGCATCTCGGATGTTTGTAGTAGGTCAGCCCTCCCCTCACTGTCCCTTTTTCCTCTTTCCATTATAAGACTTTAGCCTAATATGTTCACACGGCAGTAGAGCACAAATGTTCTCCTCTGGCGTTACTGTCAGTGATGTTGATAGATGTTGATGAAGGCATCTTGTTCCGTGAAACTTATTGAGAGAAATTGTAGGGACTTATCAGAAGCAACCACATTAGAGAGCTGGTCGCTGCAGAGATCTTCTCCCCCTATTCGTCCCATATTTTGTAGATGATCCTATCTCGTTCGTGTCAGGTTAACTGATCGGATTGTGTTGGAGAATACGACGAATAGCCTGGTGTACCAGGCTACCTTAAATCTCTAATCTCAGTCCTCCGTCTTGTAGCTTCCCATATGGACGAACCTTCTGGCGTGAAGTCTGGTTGTAAAACATCAATTTCAACGCTGATGTTGCTGTCTCTGATGATAAGGAGTACTGACAAGAGGGGTTTCGAAGTAGGTGTCACTCTAGGGGATCACAGTAGATTTATGAAAGTCAACCTGTCCGCTGTTCCCGTCACCGATAGTTTGGAGAAACAAATGGTCACAACTGAAACGCTACTAGTTGGGCTGGATTACCGACTGATCACTTCTCTAACAGATATTTTAGTTTTTGGTGCCAATACATCTAAAACGACTGTGCTTTCGTAATAGGTTTTCGGAGCATTACGCGACTGCCTATCGTACTCAAATTTCACGGCTCTTCCCGCCATTCATATTAGAAACAACCGATGCGATTCCGGTGTAAAGTTTGCATTATTTTACAATGTTGTTGATCCACACAGAATCGGCAGTTCTGTTCTTTCCTCTTCAGAACAACACAGGACGAGTTCGAGCTCATCACCTCTCTCCCCCTGGAAGAAGACACAAACAGCCATCGACAAAAGTGTCCTCGGACCACATCAGATGAACCTATGGACACTGACTACGCTTACCCAGAAGAGCCCCCAAAACCCAAGGCTCGTAAGTATCAGAACAAAAAGGACCGCGTAAAACAACAGCTTCAAACTTCGGATGGTGCGCCGCAAGGTGTAATCACTGAAGCTTCTCCGGATGTCGAACATCCGTCTTCATCCACGGAGAAAGAAACGGAACGCAAGGAGAAGAGAAAGAAAAACAAAAAGCCTCCAGAGCCTACAAAACCCGTGTTGTTGTGCCGTAATGTCTCTTTTCAAGCGACACAGAAAGAATTGACCGAACTGTTCAGTCCAGTTGGGGGACTGATCAGGGTTCGCCTTCCCCAGAAACCATCCGGTGGTCATCGGGGTTTCGCATTCTTAGAATTCGCGACAATTGACCAAGCAAAGGTAAGGAGGGGGCTTTGTCCTCCCCCAACTTCATCCGTTTTCTTAATATCGGTTTTGTCAGTCTGCTAGTTCTCCTATCTTGATTGGATAAGAGATTTTGACCTCCAGGTTCCTCCAGGTCACTTCTATTTCTATATCCCCCAGCACGTGGTAGCCATGCTCCGAAGGAAATCATGTGTGATTGATTTTCTTCGGTCTTGAGGATCGGCCCAGTGTTGACAGAGTTCTGTCCCCAGTCCCACTTACGTGAGTAAGCACCGCGTTTACACTCGTAGTCGTCTCAGGGTAATAGTGAAGTTTCTGGTCATGATATAGAATCCGGAAAACGGCGTATTCCGTAGGTGAATCCAACGAATGGAATGGTGTTCCAGTTAGATTGTTCGCGCATGCAGTGGTTTGGAACTAGGCGCTGATCCACCCATCATCGAAGTCAAGCCTACTGACCGGGGGTCCGTGGTTCTGACCGAACCCCAGCCTCTGGACAAGTCCTGTCTAGGCTTGGGCAACCTTGCAGTATCCCAGCCCTCGTGCTTCCCTCGGGTTACATGGCAGTTAGGGTGTTACTGCTGAACGATTATCTTTTATCCCGAGCTGTTTCGTATTCCTTGCCTCATTTAATTGGTACTGCCATAGTGAATACCCTTCTGAGTTCACATCAGCTATGTTCCCCCTACTTTCCTCACCCTTCTCAAATCACTGTGTCCCTCTGTCTCACTGGCTGTCTCTTCGCTTTTAGCCCAACTCCTTCTAGGACTTGGGTCAACACGTTTCGACGTGTTTACCTTGGTTACTTGTTGTGTGTTTTATTTAGGGAGGATTTCTGATCATGCAGTCCTCTGTGTACCAGTAAACTAACTGGTCTATCTCCTGCCTTTCAGTCGTTTCATGACACATCATCAGACAGAACACACTTGGTTTCGAACTCACTCAGCAGTATAGTTTGTACGCACATGCTCTGTCTCAGATAATGTGCCCTTATCCGCGTCATGGTTTAGCGTTTCTTGGACTGGTTTAATCAAACATTTAATTAGCGTCACTTGGCAGTTCTCTCCACTCTAACGCAAGTTTCGCTGCGGAACAGCGAAAACAAAGGTCATACGTTTATTAACAATTCTTGGCCATCAATCGTTGAAGCACTACACCATTATCGTGTCGCCAATGAATAGCATCCAGCAATCACATGATGCCTGTGACCTTTCAACCTCAACTTTGGACTCGTCTCATTCCCGGCATGCTTTGGCTTTTCGACAAATAAGTTTCTGGATTCTGATCTATTTGAAATAGAAACCGAAGACCTTGATGACGACCTACCGTTCTCCAATACAGACGAATCTGCTTGGCTTACGCAGTCTCATCCTCAAGTCGACACACGGTCCAAGAGGTCCATTAGTATCACATTGAACTATCAGAAGGGTAGTGTGATGGTGAATACACTGATCTGAATAAACTTCAGAAACTGGAATGGCTCTATGAAGAAGATAGTTGGATGTCCGGACCGTGGGTATTACAGCTGAACAATTAGGAGACCCAATCCAATTTACGGTCGGAATAAATCAATTGTAATGAGAGCAACCTTACGAGGAGTATAGCGCGTCGTCTGTACATATATCACGATTTCTCGAATGTCGTACCAAGTGAAACGAGTTGGCCTTGTGCAGCACGTTCAGTTGCTTAGAAACAGCATAAACGAGAGATTCAGCTGGTTCCCAGGTGAGTCTCCCGTCAAAACCAAATTGGTATGCAAATGAGTGTGTTTACCAAATTTCGTTCAACTAGAACACAAGGTTGACGGAAACCCGGGGACTGCGCCTACCTGATGA